GACGGCAGGGCCCAGCCCGTGGGCTCAGCCCCTGGGGGCGGCTGGAAGCAGGCCCGGGGGCTTGGAAGGGGGAGCCCTTCCCCAGCTGGTGAGCTGACTCAACAACCGCCACACAGGGATGCCTCTGACCCCGGCGGATGACACTAATTGGGCCCCAATCAAGAGCGTAATTTAGGTTAATTGGCTCCCCACCAGCCTTTCCAGTGAGGGCTGAGGGCCGGCACTTCTAAGTAATTAGTCCCAGCAGATGTGGGGACACCCAGAGTGTGGGGAGCGAGGGCAGGAGAGCCTGCCTGGGTGTCAGGACAGGGCGGCTCTGTTGGGAGTGTCTGTCTGTGGAGTGCGGTCCCCGGTGCCTTGCGACACCCCATGGGAGCGGGACCTGGGCAGAGGGCGGGCACTTGGTTGTTCCCCGCCTGGTTCCCAGAGGGCGACCTTCGGCTCCTGGCTGCCTGGACACGCCCGGCGCAGGGGCTCACCACCCTGGAGTCACTCCCAGGGTCGGCGGGGGAGATGGACCGGGGCTGGTCTGCTGGCTGTGACCTTCTCCCACTCGGCGGCTGAGACAAGGACATTGATGGCCTCAGGTTCTGGGCCAGGGTCTGAGATCCAGCGGCAGCGGGGCTGGCTCCTTCTGCGGCCCCTGTCCTCAGTCCGCAGGTTCCCATGGCGCTCTCCCCGTGCCCTGTGTCCAAACGACCCCTCATAAGGGTGCCAGTGAGATCAGGTCAGGCCTCGTGACCCCACTCTCACTGATCACCTCCACGAAGGCCCCTCAACAAGTCAGGTCCCATTCTGGGGCCTGGGGTTAGGGCTCACGCAGGAATCTGGTGGCACCGTCCAGCCTGTGAGGCCCATCTCAGGTCAGCACGGGGCATCCCCACAGCCTGTCCCTGCCTGCTGATGTGGACATGGGCACTTCCGTCCTTCCATCCATCCATCCATCCGTCCTTCCGTCCATCCATCCATCTGTCCATCCATCCATCCATCCATCCGTCCGTCCGTCCATCCATCCATCCTTCCATCTGTCCATCCGTCCATTCATCCTTCCATCCATCCATCCGTCCATCCGTCCATCCATCCATCTATCCATCCGTCCATCCATCCATCCGTCCGTCCATCCGTCCTTCTGTCCATTCATCCATCTATCCATCCGTCCATCCATCTGTCCATCCGTCCATCCATCCATTCATCTGTCCATCCAGCCATCCATCTGTCTGTCCATCCATCCATTCGTCCGTCCATCCGTCCGTCCGTCCGTCCGTCCGTCCATCCATCCGTCCGTCCGTCCATCCATCCTTCCATCTGTCCATCCGTCCATTCATCCTTCCATTCGTCTGTGTGTCCATCCATCCATCCATCCTTCCATCCATCCATCCGTCCTTCTGTCCATCCATCCATCCATCCATCCTTCCATCTGTCCATCCGTCCATTCATCCATCCATCCTTCCATCCGTCCGTCTGTCCATCCGTCCATCCATCCATCCATCCTTCCATCCATCCATCCGTCCTTCTGTCCATCCATCCATCCATCCGTCCATCCATCCGGTGCCCTGCCTGGGTCCCGGGCCCTCCTAAAGACGGGTTGTGCAGTGCTGAGCACCCCGGGTGGCCTTTCAAGGCCCCTCCCTGGTCAGCCACAGTGATATTTACCAGGAAAACTCCTGCCTCCTTAAGATAGTCTCCTCCATGCTTCCCCAGAAGGTCCCCCATATGCTCAATACATTTTCATCCAGGAGTCGGAAAGGTCAGCCCGTCCGTCGAGGCTGTGTGCAGGGATGGCCGCCTGCTCCTGGAGCTTGGGGAGGGGCTCCCACTCACGAGGTGCTCCTGGTGCAGCGAGGTGTGGCCTGGGCCCCCCCCTGCCTCCTGCTGCGGGGCTGCCCTGAGATGAGGTCTGCAGGGGCTGCGGGAGCTCCTCCCCTGGCAGGGGCTGCAGGAGCTGGGGCAGAGAGGCCCGAGGGAGGGGCTCCGCTGTGTGCCAGGAGGGGCTGGCTCCGCTCCCACCATATGTCCCGGCTAGAGCATCTGGCCCGGCCCTGCCTGTGGCCGCCCCGCCCTCCTCTTCCCCTTGAAGTCACTGGGGAGGCCCAGTGAGGTTTGCTGGTGGGGGGGAAGGGGCTGGAAGGGGCTGGCCTGGTGGAAGCTGATCATAGGCTTGGAGGGTCCTGGGAGGGCCTCTGCCTTCCTCGCCGGCGGCCTGCCTGCCTCTCTGAGGTCCACTCCACTCCGGCCCGGGCCCTGCGCTGCTGCCGTGGCTCTCGTGTCCCCTCCTCTGTTCAGCCTGGGCTGGGGGTGGAGGACAGACAGGAGGGACCAAAGAGGGACAGGCCCAGTGTGATCACACACCCGCTCAGGAGCTCGCTGCTGCTGTTCAGCCGGAGGCTGACACCAGGGCCCAGCAGGTTGATGTGAACCAGGTGGGCAGGTGGGCAGGTGGGCAGGTGGGCAGGTGGTGGGAGTGAGAGCAGTTGGCTGGGCCCTGCCTGGGCCTCGCTGGTGGCAGAGCCGGGCCGGCTTGCCCAGGTCACACGGTCAGGCCGGGGTTTGAAGCCAGACCTGCCTGACCCCCGCTGGCTCCCCTGGGCACCCAGATCCGGGCAGACTCACTGGGGCTCGGTTCGCTTGGGTCTTTGTTCAGGGAATGGGCGGGCGGGAGGCACGCCGTCTGTGAGCCTGGGGACCGCGACCAAGTCTTTGCTGCTGGGCTCGTCTTGCTCAGCGGTTCACCGGCCGGTGGCTTCGGGCTGGTCACTTCAGCTCCCAGGGCTGGATGAGGGGGAGGGGGAGGTGAGCGAATCCACGCGGCCTGGCCAGGTCTGGGGTTGAAGACCGGCCACAGGCCCAGCCCCGGACCGCGGGTGCCGCCTGGGTCCTGACGTGCTCTGGGGCTCAGGGCCCCTTTCCTGTGGCTGGACCCTGAGCTCTCCCCCTGCCCAGACGGCTGTGGCTTCCGAGTGCCCGCTCACCCACAGCTGTGGGTTCTTAGATGGGCTGATTTACTCTGGGCCCCGTCCTGGCCCTCCATGCCCCTCCTGCACACAGCTGGCAAGCCCCCCAGCAGTGTGACTCAGGACGGCAGCAGGAGGGCAGGCAGACCTGAGCCTCAGATGTGCCCACACCATCTGGGCAGGGCACATAGCCTCTGAGCCCAGTGTCCTGGCCTGGAGCACAGGGCTGGGAAGCAGGGCCGACTGATGATAGCTGATCTTTGGGCTGGGGCGTGGTCCCTCCCCAACTGGGATGACACTGAGGTCACTGGGGTGGCCTGGTCATCCAACCAGTGCCCAACAGGTCTGAGACACTACTCTAGAGCAGGATCTGGGTCCTTACCCCAAAACTCATTGTGGACATCAACCCCTAAACCCCTGTTCAGTCCCACCTACTCCAGGAACACCAACCCCTCAGGAACCCTGTCCCCAACAATGTCTTCCCTTCCTCATGGTTGCCTTGCTGTGCTTCAATCCGAACCTCCACTTGAGAGCCACCTTGAGAAAGCGGGTACATGGGAGGATGGGTGTGTGGGTCAGTGGGTGTGAGGATGGATGGGTGGGGGGATGGATGGAAGATGGGTGGGAGGATGGATGGAGGATGGGTGGGTGGATGGATGGGTGGAATAATGAATGGAGGATGGGTGGGTGGATGGATGGATAGGTTGGTGGATAGAGGGTGAGTGGATGGATGGGTAGATGGGTGGATGGAGGATGGGTGGGTGGAATAATGGATGGAGGATGGGTGGGTGTGTGGGTGGATGGATGGATAGGTGGGTGGATAGAGGGTGAGTGGATGGATAGAGGGTGAGTGGATGGATGGGTAGATAGATGGGTGGATGGAGGATGGGTGGGTGGATGGATGGTGGATGGGTGGGTGGATGGATGGGTGGGTGGATGGATGGGTGCATGGATCAGTGGATGTGTAGAGGGAGGATGGGTGGGTGGAATAATGGGCGGATGAATGAATGACCAGCCCCAGCATCCACCTAATGACTCAGATGGGCAACCTGGGGACTCATCTTTGGCTTCTGTTTCCCTCACATATCTGGTCACAACGAGGTTCTAAGAATTGGCCTTCTGGTCTTGCCTCTGTTCCCCCAACCCTCCTCTTCTGCTCTGGGCCCCATCTTTCCATGGGTCAGTCTTCCTCCTGACCCTTTGCCCTGTTTCATCTCCCTTTTCCTGCCCATTCTCTTGTTTGCTTCCGAGTGGCCTCTTCACTAACACTCTCTTGAACATGTCACTCTGGCCTATAGTTTCTCACAGTCTTGGCTGGCATCTCAGGAGTGCTGTCCAAAACCCTCCATGTCCTGCAGGCCGGTCTCATCCATCCCCCGTTCCCTTCCCCCACCCCCACTCCAGCCACTCGGTGACTTACCCGATTATTTTCATCTCCCATTTTGCCCTAGTTCTCCCTGATCCCTTGCCTCCCACCTCCCCGCCTGCCTGGGAGTCCGATACCCCCTTGGGACCTAGATGAGGCCTCGCTTTGTTCACATGACCTCTCAGCCCCTCCCTGATGAGTCCCTGGCCCAAATCTGTGTCTTTTCCCCATGGAGCCTTTGATGGTGGGGCCCAGAGCTTGCTGAAGTAATAACCCAACACTATACAGGAACAGTAAGACTGGTGAAGACCACGTGTCTGATATTTGCCGGACCCAGGCTGCGTGCCCTCCGTGCATCATCTTAAGGCTTTCAGATGTCCCCTGGAGCTGTGGCTTCACCCTGTGTGTGCGGGAGAAACCAAAGCACTGAGAGGTGTGACTACCGAGAACCACACCAGGCCCGGCTGCCCTGGAGCGGGGCCGTCTTCTGCCTGGGGCCTGGCTCCAAGCCAGCCCAGAGCAGTTCTTGAATGAGCTTGTGTGCCAGCCCAGGGAAGAGCCCCTTCCAAGGGACAGGTTCTGCCTAGACCCTGCCCAAAGTCCCCAGTGGGCACCAGCCAAGTGCCCCACCCCAGGATGGGAGGCTGGGGGTCGAAACACAACAATGTCTTTCTCTCTCCTAGCTCCAGAGACGCAAGATCAAGTGCTACTTCCTGTCGGCTGGAGTCACCATTCTGCTCGTCATCATCCTCATCATTGCCACTTCTATTCGAAAGTGATGCCACCTGTGGTAAGTTCCCCACCTTTCCCCACATCATCCGTTCCTCCATCACCCAGTCATCCGTCTTTCCATGCATCCTCATTTCATTCATCCACCCAGCCCTCCTTGATCCATCACCCCCATTCATCATCCATCATCTATCCACCATCCATCATCCATCCACCATCCATCCATGCATTCATCCATCCATCCATTCATCCATCCATCTATCCATCATACATCTATTATTCATCCATCATCCATCCATCCATCTGTCCATCCATCCTTCATCCATCTATCATCTATCCATCCATCATCCATCCATCTATCCATCTATCCATCTATCCACCCATCTGTCCATCCATCCATCCATCCATCCACCATCCATCCACCATCCATCCATCTATTCATTCATCTGTCCATCCATTCATCCATCCATCATCCATCCATACATCTATCCACCATCCATCCATCCATCTATCCACCCATCTGTCCATCCATCCATCCACCATCTATCCATCCACCATCCATCCATCTATTCATTCATCTGTCCATCCATTCATCCATCCATCATCCATCCATACATCTATCCACCATCCATCTATCCATCTATCCACCCATCTGTCCATCCATCCATCCATCCATCCATCCACCATCCATCCACCATCCATCCATCTATTCATTCATCTGTCCATCCATTCATCCATCCATCATCCATCCATCCATCCACCCACCCATCCATCTTCCTCTGTGTCAGGCCCAGGTTGGGCCAGGTGGCTCAGCAGTGGACACAGCAGATAGGGGCCCTCTTTTCCTGGAACTCACAGCCGTGGGGCAGGCCAACCTGAAGCTCGCTTTATGTGTCACTGACTTCCTGAGGTCACAGCTGGCCGTTTCCCTGGGAAGTCAGGAGCAGAACAGTGGGGTTGAGTGGTGGGCATGTGCTGGGAGCCCCGGGGAGGGAGCGAGGCCCCCGATGGGGAGAGTTAGTCAGGGAGCCTCACTGAGAACAGGGCTGGGGAGTGGGTGTTCCCAGAGCATGGGGCCCTGGGCGGGAACTGGAGCCGGACTCGATGGGGCAGAGCAGGGGGGGGCCCTGAGTGACAATGCGGAGCCTCCTGCATGTTCAGCAGGTGTCTGAGCACCTTATTTCTGGGTAACAATTAGCTCGAAACCGATTGTCCCAAAACAACCTCGGACATGACCTCACAGTTTCTGTGTATGAGGAACTCAGAGGTGGCTTAGCTGGGCGACTCTGTCCCCAAGGCTGGGCTGGGACGCCCCAGAAGAGTAAGGCGCTAGCTCTGGTTGGCACTGAGTGTGGGCGATGGGGGCCAGGAGGGCGGGGGAGGGGCTCACGGCTGTCAGCCAGCCCTGTGCAGGTGTATGACCTGGGCCCATCCTCCGCCTCCCTCGATGGGCGGGTCCCAGCCCACGGAGCCCTGGGCTGGGGGATGCAGAGGACCGTGGCTTTCCCTAGAATGCCAGGCAGTGGGCCCTGTCCGGTGCCCTCACGTGCTGAGGTCAGAAGAAGGGTCAGAAGAGGCTGGCAGGGAGGCAGGACAGGTGCCAGGGAGGGGTCGTGGGGAGGAGGGGGCTGGGAGGGTGTTCGGGTGCCCAGCTGACAAGGCCCTGGCAGCCCTGCAGTGGGGGAGGGGCCTTCCCCTTCTCCTGTGCCTGGGGTGGGACTAGCTCCGCTCGCAGGCCCAGCGGTGGGAGGGCGTCCTGGCTCCTCCAGCCGGAACCCTCTCCCGAGGTCCCCGCCCCTCCCCTTCCCGAGGCTGATCAGTCAGGGCCACGGGCTGCCGCCACTCTGCACCCCGCCCAGGCCCAGCCCCGCTGCCTGACCCTCCCGTGCCAGAGGGAAGCTCAGGGGTGGGTTCTGGGTCCAGGGGTCCCGTGCCTGCTCCCGCAGACCAGTGGGGGCAGCTGTGCCCTTCCCTGGGGTCCCCACTGCAGCAGCCTGGTGTGAGCAGTGCCCCAGTCCTCTCCAGGGGACGCAGGCTGCGGCCAGGCCACGTGGCCAGCCAGTGGCCACTTATGTGGCCCTTGGTCACAGGCGGCAAGAGGAGGGAACTTTGGCTCCAGTAGCTAAGAGAGCAGCGTTGGGAGAAAGGGGGGCCCGGGCAGCTCAGACCCCGGGCTGAGCCCACGTAGGCACTTCTGTTAGCTGAGAGAGACACTGGCCCACCCCAGCACCACCTGCCAGGGGCTCTGTGGGACCTGGAGACCCTCCCCGGACAGTCTCCTGCCGAGAAGGGGCGGGCGTGACCCTGTCTCCCTCTCTGCTGAGTCGCTGAGGACAAAGGCAGACGTCTAAATATAAACAGCACTTTGAGGAAGGAGAGGCTCTATTTAAACGTGGGGGGTTATTATTTCCGCAGAGAAGAGCGGTCTCTGCAGGGAAGCTCAGGCTCCCTGGCGTGGGGAGCTGGGTGCATGTGCCCACGGCAGTGAGAGGGGAGGCCCCCCCACCCCGGGCACCTCAGCCGGGCGCCCGGGCTGCACCCCTGCCTGGGCTCATCTCTGCTCACTGCCCCAGCCGGGAGCTCGCAGGGCCTGGGGGCGGTCAGGACGGGCACTCACGGGGGCCGGGGTGGGGGCAGCATTGCCACCATGTGGGCCCAAGAACAGGGCACGTGCCCAGAGTCTGCAAAGTGGGGAGGCCAGTGCCCAGTGAGCCTCATGCGCCTGCGAGGCCCTGGACTCAATTACAGCTGATGTGAAACTGCTCCAGGACCAGGGTCAGAGCTCCGCCTGTGACAGAGGCCAGGGCTCGTGTGTGACCAGGGTCAGGGCTCGTGTGTGACCAGGGTCAGGGCTCGGGTGTGACCATGGTCAGGGCTCGTGTGTGACCAGGGTCAGAGGTCCGCCTGTGACAGAGGCCAGGGCTCGTGTGTGACCAGGGTCAGGGCTCGTGTGTGACCAGGGTCAGGGCTCGGGTGTGACCAGGGTCAGGGCTCGTGTGACTGAGTCTGTGTTAGGATTGGGCGTCCTCGGTCTGGCGGCATCTGGGACAATACAGGACACAGCTGCCCATCCCAGCTGAGCTGAGCTCCTGGCCTCAGCCGGGCTCTCGGGGCGTCTCTCCTCCCCCTCAGGAAAGGCCAGCTGCTTCCGCAGCACCCCCAGGCCGGTCTCTTGGTGAGGGGACCTGTGATGAAGGTTCCAGGGAGTCCCAGTGTGCAGGATGGAGGAGCAGGGGCTGTGGTTCTGAGTCCCCGTGTTGCCCACACCCCGGGGTGTCCGGAGGTCAGAGCTCCGCCCTGTCGCCAGGCAGCAAGTCTTCAGGGAAGCAGGAGTGGAGGGCCTGTGCCCCCGGCCTGGTGGCTCAGTCCCAGACCTTGAAGACCAGGCAAGCGGACAGTCTGCAGCCCGATTGTCTGATAGTTGGGGTGTGAGTCTCGGCTCTTTTGGGGAAGGAGCTGGAGGGACCTTGGAGAAGGAAGTAAGTCCTTGGGGCCTGGGGGCCTCCCACCCCACCATCCCGGAGCCCACGGCTGCAGGGCCTGCACCGCCAGGACCTCTTCCACGTTGGACGTGACGGCTGTGGACTGGTCTGTGGGCCCTGCGGGACGTGAGCTCTCGGTGGTCGCTGAGCATGGCCCAGCGTGTGGAGGGTGAACGCGAGGGCGCGTGTGGACAGGTGGGTGCCGGTGTACCAGCCGCTCCCTGCCACGCCACAGGCCGGGCCTCAGTCAACAGTCAGTGTCTGCAGTCAGCAATGAAGCATTTTCATGAGCAGAAAAATTTAAGGGGCTAAATGGAAGCTCACAGCAAGTCACAGTGAATGTTTCTGAAAGCCACAAAATATCAGCCTTGGAGCCGTGATTCCTTTTTGGGAAGCCTGATGGGGAGCTTTATCCACACACTTCTGTGCATGTGCATGTGACTACATGTGTGTCTGCACGTGTGCATGTATGCACGCCTGTCTGTGTGTGCATGTGTCTGGGCATATCTGTATGTGTGTGCACTTCTGTGTGTGTGCGTGTCTGTGGGTGTGTGTGGGCATGTCTCTGTGTGGCTGCACATGTGTGCATGTGCATGTGTGTGTGTGTGTGTATGGGCATGTCTGTGCACGTGTGCACTTCTGTGTCTGCATGTGTGTGTCTGTAGGTGTGTGAGGACATGTCTGTGTGACTGCATATGTGTGTGCGTGTGTGCGCCTGTCTGTGTGACAGCATGTGTGTGCGTGTGTGCCTCTGTGTGTCTGCGTGTGACTGCACGTGTGTGCGTGTGTGCCTCTGTGTGTCTGTGTGTGCCTGTGTCTGTGTGCACTTCTGTGTGTCTGTGTGTGTGTGTCTGTGTGTGTGTGTCTGTGTGTGTGCCTCTGTGTGTGCGTGTGTCTGTGTGTGACTGCATGTGTGTGCCGGTGCATGAGGCCTGGAGGGAGTGTCCTCTAGGTGCCCCCTCCTGGAAGGGCAGGAGACAGCTGTGATCCGCATGCGTATCTTCTGTTCTTTGAGCGCTTAGTAGGGCTTCACATGGGGATCACCTCCCTGGGTCGTCACCGCAGCCCCCACGGAGGTGCAGATGGCAGAGCCGGCACGCGGACAGATGGGGGTGCTGACTCAGAAGTGGCATCGCGGGGTCATCCTTCTGCACTTGGGGCTGTCAGGGAAGTGTGGCCCTACTTCAGGGCCCCTTCGATGCAGGGACCTGACCCATGGAGGAGCGCACAGAGGGGCCGTCCTCAGGCCGTCCTGGCGGAGGAGAGGGTCCTGCTGCCGGAGAGGCCTCGGTGGTCCAGGAGGCCCCAGGGTAAGGACAGGGAGACAAGCATCCGAAGATCGGGGTGCACTCGAAAGACCCCCCAACTGTCTCCCTGCTCAAAGCAAGCAGTTTTGCTTCCAGGAGCTTCTTGGTAATTGCAATAATAAATTGAATAATTAAGCTAAATCCACAGAAGAGAATTAAATATTAATTTCTAATAAGCTATTTAGAGTATTACCAGCAAGCACCACAGAACGTGTGCACACTGGTGTCGCCCCAGCCCCAGAACTGGCCTCGGGACCTTCCCTCCCATCCGGGACTGACCCCCACTCAGCCTCGATCCAGGAGGGCGACAGGCAACGTGTCAGAGCCCATGAGCTGGTGTCAGCCCATCAGCAGGATGGGGTGTCTGCAGGCCTGGACTTGGATCTCCCTGGCGGCCGAATTTCCTCAGCAAGGGAGGGTGGCTGGTGCCCTTTGGTGGAGTGGTGAGCGGATGAGAAAATGGCATGTCTGAGGGACACTGACGTCATGCAGGTGGGCAGCGTCCCCCTAGGACGCCGGTGAGCTCGGCCCCAGCTCTAAGTGGCTGTGCTCCGTCCAGAAGGCCTGCCACCATCACCCTGCAGCCAGGACAGCATGGGGTGGTCTGGCCCCCACCAATCAGGGCCGTGCTCAGGGCGGACCCATGTATGGTCTGGTCACACTCTGGGTCCAGACCCTGGTCACAGAGTGGCTCACTGACCCTCTGAGCACTCCCGGGCTGGGCAAGAACTGCTAGCAACTCATGGCTCTGCCACAGAGCTGAGGGCCCAGAGTGGCGGCTGGGGTAGCTTGCCTGGGGTTCACCAGCCGTCTCCCTGACAGGGCACAGGGGTGCCCGGGGCATAGTTGTTGCCTGAGAGGAGGGTACACATGAACCAAAAGGGTCGGTGTGGGAATGTCAGGGTGGGGGCTTGCCCAAGGACACCAGCTGGGAGCGGCGTCAGCGGCAGCATTGAGCCTGGCTGCCTGAGTCCATGCTGGCCCGGTGGCCACTTCCCTCTCAGGGCCTGTTTCCTCTTCTGTGAAATGGGCCCACCTCCCCAGGGCCCATCCCAAGTTGGCACGGTTTTGCCACCTTCTGACTGCCTGGCCCAGCCCCAGGGGAGTGAGTGCTGTTCTAACAGTCCTGACTCCTGAGAAGGCTGCAGGCTCCCGTGGAGGTGGTGGCTCCCGTGGAGGGTGGTGGCTCCCGTGGAGGTGGTGGCTCCCGTGGAGGGTGGTGGCTCCCGTGGAGGGTGGTGGCTCCTGTGGAGAGTGGCTCCCATAGAAGGTGGTGGCTCCCATGGAGGGTGGCCCCCGTGGAGGGTGGCTCTCGTGGAGGGTGGTGGCTCCCGTGGAGGGTGGTGGCTCTCATGGAGGGTGGTGGCTCCTGTGGGGGGTGGCATGTTGGGAAGAGCCAGGCTGGTTGCCGCTGCACCTGAACTCCCTTCTCAGTAGGGGTTCATGGAGCCTATTGTTTTGCAGGTTGATGCTGTCACCTGGCCTGCATGGACCCCGGAGACCTTACACCTGCCTGTTCCCACCTGGGCATTGACCCGCCACCTTCGCTCCGGCCTTGGCTGCGCCGCCCTAATAAACTGCCCCTGCTAAGCCCGCTGGCTGTGGGTCTCTCCATCTGGGGCTGGGAGGCATCTCTCTGGCCCTGGGGTGTGAGTGTGAGTGAGTGAGAGCCTGGATGCTCCCTGTGCGTGTGCTGGTTGAGGTCGGCCTGGCGTGAACCGCGATGGGGGTGGTCCGGGAGTGATCTGTGTGGGGCCGGCCCCTCCCTCCCCGAGAGGCGCACAGCCCGGGCCTTCTGGAAACATCGGAGGGGCTGGAGGCAGCTCTGAGGCCCCTGCAGCTCCGAGATCCGACCTCTGCCTCCTGACGCCCAGCTGGGGACGGGCAGGAATAAAGGCTCCCCGCACCTTGCCAGAGTGAGGGGTTAGTGGGGGAGACGCCCCTAAACAGGAGGGGGGCAGAGGGCAGGAGGCAGCCCCTGCTGTGGGGAGTGGGTGCCCAGCAGGCAGGCGGAGGTCCTGGCAGCACAGCGCTGGGGTCAGCACCACCCCTCCTAGGTCCCCAGGGGCTCAGGACCTCACTGGGCAGGGAGAGGGAGCCCCTGCCCCTCCCCCACACCCAGGCCCAGGCCTGGCTGGGAGGGGTGGCGTCTGAATGTTTCATCCAGGCCGCTTTGTCCCAGAGGCTGTTTCAGAGTGTTTCGGATTCTGTGAAGCGCTTTCTTCCCCAGGGACCAATGAGGTGCGGGCAGTGCAGCCTGGCAGGGGGGTTGGCAGACGCCCCCACCCACCTCCTCAGCTTCCCACAGTGGCTGCTGGCTGCCTGGGCCCGGGGTGGTCTGCAGGAGGTGCGGGAGCAAATTGGATTTTCCACCTCGCGGCTGCAGGTGTGAGGGCGGCCAGGGCACAGCGCCGGGCCCAGACACGGGCCCCCAGGCTGGCTTAGCGGGCTTGGGGGGCTGTGTGGAGGTTGGCGGCCCTGGATGTGGGGGTGGAGAAGCCAGTTCTCTCCCCACAGCCGGGAAACCGGAATAGTGGAGGCGCTGGTTGGGGTCCTGTGAGCTAAGGTCCCCGCGCTGGCGCTGTGGCCCCCACTTTGCAGAAGAGGACGCTGAGCCCCGAACACAGGCTCGCCTGCAGGGAGGTGCTGCCGGGGACACAAGCTGGGCTCGGAACAACTGCAGGACCTTGGGGAGTCTGGGGGCTGGCCAGCCCTCTCGTGGGAGACCTCGGTCCCCGAGCACCCCTGCTGGCCCTGTCAGCCCTTCTCAGGCGGCCCCAGGGGAGCAGCTGCCTGGGGTGAGGAGTTCAGGCCGGCAGAGCGGGCAGCGCGGGGCAGGAGGCAGGCGCCCAGGATAGCGCTGATGTCAGCGGCTACGGCCACCGCCTGGCTGGACTCAGCCTCCCCACCCCAGAGTGCGGTGTCCCAGTGACCTTCAGCTCCAGTGCGGAGCGGTGAGGCAGCCCCCGCCAGGGAGGCGTCCCAGCCGGCGCCCACTGTTGCAGGCATGGGAAGGTGCGGGGGTTGGTGTGGCCCCTGTAACCATGGTGTCCCCTCCCAGAACCAGCAGGGCTGGTGGAAGGACCCTTCTGTCCCTCCTGCTCCGGGGAAGGCCTGGAGAAACCTGGTTTCCTCCAGTCACGCGGCCTGCGGGGCAGAGCAGAAATTAGGAGCGGCTCCCGGTTCCCAGGCCAGACACGTTTGTAGGGAGCAGAGTTGGTTGGAGTTGATCTTCCCTTTGGGGAGGTTGGAGTGATGGAGCCCGGTGTTGGCAGATGGCAGGATCCCGGGTGTTTACTCAGCAGGGACCACCTCTCAAGCACCCAGGTCTCCCCTGCACCGTCCTCAGTCCACGTCTCTCCCGCACCGTCCTCGGTCCACGTCTCTCCCGCACCGTCCTCGGTCCACGTCTACCCAGCACCGTCCTCGGTCCACGTCTCCCCCGCACCGTCCTCGGTCCACGTCTCTCCCGCACCGTCCTCGGTCCACGTCTCTCCCGCACCGTCCTCGGTCCACGTCTACCCAGCACCGTCCTCGGTCCACGTCTACCCAGCACCGTCCTCGGTCCACGTCTCTCCCGCACCGTCCTCGGTCACGTCTACCCAGCACCGTCCTCGGTCCACGTCTACCCAGCACCGTCCTCGGTCCACGTCTCCTGCACCGTCCTCGGTCCACGTCTCCCCCGCACCGTCCTCGGTCCACGTCTCCCCCGCACCGTCCTTGGTCCACGTCTCCCCTGCACCGTCCTCGGTCCACGTCTACCCAGCACCGTCCTCGGTCCACGTCTACCCAGCACCGTCCTCGGTCCACGTCTCTCCCGCACCGTCCTCGGTCCACGTCTCCCCTGCACCGTCCTCGGTCCACGTCTCCCCTGCACCGTCCTCAGCCACCTTGGTGCCCTGGAGAGAGTGTGGGTGCTGGAATCTCCAGGCTCGGTTCAAATCCCACCCACCCACTCACAGCTCCCTCCCTCTGAGCCTCGGTTTCCTCATCTGTAAAATGGGACCATTAAACCTCCACGAGGGTGACACGGGCCAGCCTGTAGAGGGCCGTGGCTCAGTCTGTTCCTCTCAGGCTGAGCCGGGTGCCCTTCTGCCCCAGAAGCCCATGAGCACCCTGCCCAGAGCTGGCCCAGGCGCTTCGAAGCCCTTGGCTGAGACCAAGGACAGCAATCTACCCCAGTTCCTTTGCTCTCCATCTTGACCTGTTCGAATTCTCTCACCCTGATGTGGCTCCGACCTTCGTTCTGAGGGGCTCAGGCACGGTGGCCCTGCCTGAATGGGCGGTGCACCCTCCCCTGGCACCATCGCAGCACCAGCTGTGCCAGGACACCCTCTGGGCTCCACCCACTTTCAGCCGCACCCCCTCAGGCCTCTGGACCTTGGTAGTCAGGGCCCATTGCCTGGTTACCAGCACCACGCCCTCCTGTTAACTTAGTGGCCCAGGCAGGTGGTCTCAGCCCCCCCCCCCCCCTGGCAGCAGAGCCAGCCCGACACCTGGGGCATCCTGCACGGCACGGGTGTGGCCAGGCCCTTATGGCAAGGTCGTGACTGCGTGGAGGTGTGACCTTGGCTCCCCCACCCAGCCTGCGGGACGGCAGCCCCTCCTCACAGGGGTTGCTCTTGGTGGTCTCAGGAGGCCTCCTCCGTCCTCAAGGCCAGCTGCTGCTGGGCGATGGGGGCCAGTGGGTCCCGTGGGCACTTTTGCTTTCTTGGCTTTGAAAATGGTCTCTTGGTTGGAAGATAAGATGGGCTTCGGAGTCTCAGGCACAACGTTCTCACAGAGGAAAAGTGGCAACTTGCCCTCAGTGGGTCAGAAAACATCCAACAGTCTTTTTAATGCCTCTCAGTCATCTCTCAGCCACTCATCTTCCCTCATCTATCCCCCCCATCCATCCCCACCCATCCCCCACTCATCCATCCATCCATCCATCCCCCACCCATCCATCCATCCATCCATCCCCCACCCATCCATCCATCCATCCCCCACCCATCCATCCATCCATCCATCCCCCACCCCCCACCCATCCATCCATCCATCCATCCATCCCCCACCCATCCCTCCATCCATCCATCCCCCACCCATCCATCCATCCATCCCCCACCCATCCATCCATCCATCCTCCATCCATCCATCCCCCACCCATCCATCCATCCCCCACCCATCCATCCATCCATCCCCCACCCATCCATCCATCCATCCCCCACCCATCCATCCATCCATCCCCCACCCATCCATCCATCCATCCCCCACCCATCCCCCACCCATCCATCCATCCATCCATCCCCCACCCATCCATCCATCCATCCCCCACCCATCCATCCATCCTCCATCCATCCATCCATCCATCCATCCCCCACCCATCCATCCATCCTCCATCCATCCATCCATCCATCCATCCATCCCCCACCCATCCATCCATCCATCCCCCACCCATCCATCCATCCATCCATCCACCCCCCACCCATCCATCCATCCATCCACCCCCCACCCATCCATCCATCCCCCACCCCTCCATCCATCCATCCACCCCCCACCCATCCATCCATCCATCCCCCACCCATCCATCCATCCATCCCCCACCCATCCATCCATCCATCCACCCCCCACCCATCCATCTCCCCCATCACTCACCTATTCATTTATTCTCTTGAAAGCTGCATGCTCTAAGCAACCCCTGCCCTACCTGGGCTGGTTGAGGACGTAACAGGGACCCTGCTCACCAGAAGCTCCCAGTGTGGGGGTCACATGGAAACAGGAGCCACAGCGTGCAGTGGGCAGCACACAGCAACCAGGTGACTGGGCAGGTGCCTGGAGCTCTGGCTGGGTGCAGATGGCTTCCCGAGGAGTGACCCCGAGCTGCAGGCAGGCAGGGCAGGCACACGTGGCCTGCAGCCCAGAATCCCACGCAGCCTGTGCATCGGAGCCCAGAGCTAACTTTCGGCCTGAAGTTTTCAATTCTTCCTGTAACCGAGTCTCTGCAACTGAGTCTCTGCTCCCTTCCCTTGGTGAGTTTCCAATTTAAATATCCAAATTGTTTACTTGCTGAAATCAATCGACAAGGGACCATCTTGTATTTGCAATTCAATTGACTATGATACACTGTCTTACAATTACAGCTCCAATGGATTTCTTCTTAATTTATTTTTCTCTTAACGCTCTCCTCCGTGGTAATTCCGAGACTAATTGTCCTCGGATCACCCTCATCAAAGAGAAGGATAATGAACAGCTAGGGTTCACAGAGGCTGCGGCCGAGCTGCTGGGCCCCTTCCTCTTCCCTTTGTCCTCCCGTCCCACACCCGCACCCTGGGGCCTGAAGTCCCCACAGGACGCATCCCCAGAGGAGGAGGGTCCACGTGAGTGCGCTGATCCGTGGGCTCAGAATAGGGCTGGCCCCGCCCCTGCCTCTGCCCGGAATTCCCACCTGGGAGGGAGGGCAGGAGGCCCTTCCAGCTCGGGGGCCTGTGCCCTGCTAGGGATCCTAGAACACACCTCTTGCCACTCCGGGCCTCAGTTTCCCCGTCTGTGAAGTGGGCCCGCGGGTCTCGGGCCCCTGCAGCTGCGACATGCTGGGTCTGTCCA